GGGGGGGGGGGGGGGGGGGGAACACGCGAGTTTATCGGCCCCGTGGGCGATGGCGAACCGAAATCACCTTTATCTTTCTGTTACAGGCGACACCGGACAATATTTCCGGGTTAGGCCGAACAACAGCTCCGTCCTGGAGGGCGGCGAAGTGGTAATTCCCTGCGAAGTGGGGAACAAAGCCGGCACCGTCCAATGGGTCAAAGATGGATTTGTCTACACCATACAGAGTGAGTACCATATTACGCCGTTAATTGTCCTTTTACGATCTCTCCCCCTCTCTTGTTCTTCTCCTTTTTTGCTACCGTCAAACGGCCGTGTGAATTCGCGCGAATGTCTCTCGTCAGGAAATCTTATCTCGACGGAAATATCGAGGCGACGGTAATTCGTGAGTTACGAGCCATCCGGAATAAATTATAAGCTAAATTTCGTAAGTTATGAACTGAATCTCATCGTTACCGGTGGTTAACCGTATGCATATCTCTCTTTCTCTCTCTCTTCCAGTCCTTCTCGATACTCCGGTATTTTTCAAGAGGATTTGAATTCGGCAGCGTTTAGTCGTATTTTCGAGAATTTTAACATCACTCGTGAAGCGCAAACGTGTGAATATTGCACAACACCACGTATACCATATATAAATTTAAGATTACATCTGTCTCGTTGTTTGCCTTCGCGAGATGAATGTTGCCTATCTGCAGCATACGCGCGAAGGTTCGGGAATTACACTTTTATTTTAATGGGAAAAGTTATTCCGACATATAAATGTATCGACGATAACAAGTATCAAGGGAGTGAAAAAAAGAGGACGCGTTATTGTCAAAATAAATGGGTGTGTGTCAAATTGGATAAAGATGGGTTAATTCGGAATTTGCGCAATTAACGTTACCTCGAAAATCGTTCAGGTCTAAATCCACCAATTAAAACCGCGCGTAACAAAAGCTGTTTGTATTTTCAGTAGGAAGTTACGTTTTCGCGTTACCTCGAATTGGTTTACATACCAATTTTCAGTGAACGCATTAACGCGCTAATCGAGAGTCCTGTGTGCTATTTCATTGTTTCCTATCCGATCGAGGGGTGGATTTACATTATTGTATTATATTACAATTACACGCAACTGCCTTTATTTAATTTCAGATCTCGAGTCTGCAGGTATTTATACTTTGCATGATCCGATTTTTCAATAGTTTTCCCTCGATGTAACGGGCAGTAAACAAACGCGAAAGTTTCGTCCTGAAAACAAGGATTTTAAGATGGAAAATAAAAAAAAAAGATTTCAAAATAAGCTAATCATCTCTCATTTCCGAAAATTTCTTTCATATTGAGAACAAAGTTACAGAATTAATAAAATTTTAGTTAAACGAATAAAAATTTTTCAATTATTTCGGAGAAAATATAACAAAAATTTTGTAATACTGGACCATGCCGGAATTGTGATTGAAATTATGATGTAATTTTTAATGATGTATATCATGTGTACATACACGGGAAAAAGGAATTACCTGTCCATATAATACGAAATTTATAAAATAAGAATACAAAAAAGGCAAACAAGAGCCCAGCGCTGAATGTTGATTGCGAAAATATTTAATAATGTAGGAAATTATTATATTTCAATATACGCATATTGAAATATAATAATTTTCTACATTATTAAATGTTTTCGCAATCAACATCCAACGTTGTCTCTTATTTATCTTTTTTTATATTTTTATTTTATGATTGGATGTTTTGAGAACTATTAAACATATCGTTATGAAATTTACTTACCAGACCTAGTTTTTAGCTATGAGAACTGTGAGAGACAAAGAGAATTAATTAAAATTAACTAAATTTTAGTTGTATTACATAGATAGCTAATTTTTAACTGTTGTAGTTAGTTTCTAGCTATGGAAACTAGTTTTTAGCTATAAGAACTAATTGTTTCATCGGTCCAAGGGCTTTTTTTTCTCGGTGCCAATCGGATATTTTATTCAGCCGACTTTCGAATCGCAGACAACACATCACCGGCAAACATAGAAATTGGCGCACACTGAGGATTAACGTTAAACGAGTCGCTAATAATTTCCGAGGCATAAATTTCAAGGTTTAATATTTAGCACGATGCAGGTGTGCGCGTGCAGGAAACTTCAACATCGATAACGCTGAGAAACGGAAAGTTTCGAGATTCACTAGCCGACCTCTCGTCTGGATACTTGGCGTAAAAGAACTTTTACGATCTTGCCTGAGGACTAGCGGTGTGGATTTATTATTTAAGCCGGGTTGTAAAAAAGAATAGGGTCCGCTATCGACAGGAGGAGAGGGAGAGAACGGTTAATTACTCCCGGTCCCGCCGACTTCCGGCTATCGTAATCGCATCGTTCGCCGAGAGTGCTCGCATACCGACCGAATAAGCGGGTAATAAACGGAGCTAAAATTAAAACCGAGATATTAGCTGTGCGCGTATCCGCTCATAAATTACGACGCTCTTAGCCGCGAGCTGAGGAACGTCGGCCGATCCGCTCGCTAATGATCCCGATGTTCGACTCTGATTACAGACGACGAAATCGTGGGCCAACCCAGGCTAAGGCTGGTCGGCGACCAGAAGGCCGGTATTTTCAACCTGAAGATCACCGACGCGTCCCTGACCGACGACGGAGAGTACGAGTGCCAGGTCGGACGTTACCTGCGAATCAAGCCGATCCGCGCCAGCGCCCACCTGATCGTCACCTGTGAGTCGAAATTTTATATTGGCACAAGCGGGTCACGCTTTTCGCCGCATCATAACACTGATGCTGTTTTTCAGCTATTATTTTTATTCGTTCCGAAAATAATTTCAGGAAGCGACTTTGTTTCGTCCCGCTCCGCGATTAATTGTTTCGAAAAATAACTTTTACCATTCCACCGTTTTAGTCGTGTTGAATGGAATAATATATAAAGCAAAATAAATATTTACGTCGACTGGCAGGAGAATCGGTAGGAAAGAGTTGCATTTTTAAAAGAATTATTATCCCGACGCGTCAAAACACTGAAACATTGCTCGCAAAAGGTTGAATTCGTCTCACAAATTTTAACATATTAACACAACGCAGAGCCCGAAATAATATCGCGCCGCTGTTATTAAATCTACTTCTGTTGGTGGTGTCTAATGAAAGAAATGAACGAAAGCGTCCAAGTCAAAAAATAGACGACCGGCACATTGTGTTAATTAAAATTTTCGAACCACAACGATATTCTTCCCGGGGAGAGAATGTGGAGGAAGTTTCAACGGCAAGAATACACTCCTACCGGGGGGACAATCGTCTTCCTCCTCACGAGCCGGCCACCCTGTAGTTAAAATGCAAAGCATCCGTAACTCGAATTACAAACTCGCGATCTCGAAACGAACCGCGGTTGAAGTTAATTTACGGCCGGGCGTTACGTTGTCGCGACTTTCAGGGTTTCGCGAGAACGGTTTACACGCCCGGCACGACATTTGGCCCGGGTCAGCCGGCGGGGGTGCGCGTTCCGCGCCATCGACAACGACGTTTCTCGTCCGTGAATTATGCAGAAGTTATTAAGCGCGACAATATGCACTCGCGAAACTAGTTTGCCGAGCGGAACGAAGCTAGTTTTCACCACGCGCGCGCGTCCTTTCCGCGGAGCTGCAAACGCCGTGCGCTTTTGTGGCACGCGACGGCGGTTAATACGGGAATCCACTCTCGCCATCCGCCACTGCTGTCGTTATTCTTTCTAGGGTATCGACCGGATTTTTTCGAAATCTCCGTCTCGCTGCGCTTTTCTTCGCGAACCGACCCCATGCTCTGTTTTCTTCATTAATGTGCAAAAGAAGTCAATAATAACATAAAGGAGATTTAACTGCAAATATCGCTCGTTATAGAGTCGATTCGTCACCGACATCATCGACAATAAATTATATCTCGCGAAGCAATACGCGACGAAGCTTGTCGTTCAAAATTGTCGCGCATAAACCGCGGGTAATTTTCGCCGGACGGTTGTGGAGCGCCGGCTATACGTATAAATTATGGATTATAGAATTATCATAACGAGGAAATCGTCGAGTCAATACGACTTATCTGCCTGATGCTCGCTTTGACGAGCGGGCGAGTGAGCGAACGGAGCTTTCTGAAACGCGACTTACTTTTTGATAAATGACGTACTTTCTAAATTTCTCGAAGCAAAACTTCATCCTAAATGAATGAGAATTTATTCCAAACGATATTGAAAATACTGTCACTAGGAACGCTTCACTTTTCCCAAGAGTGGATATTCTGAAGCAACCGTTGAGTGAATGTTTCATTCTTTTCGAGTGTTTCACTTGTTTCGAGTGAATGTTAAAGTCATTCATTTTGATTTTATTTAGAGTGAACTCTAAATATTGAAAAATTTCAAATGAATTTCCAAGAAAATCCATAGGAACTCATGTGAATCTCTATTGGATAATAAAAATCCATTTAGGAATCCACATGATGTATGGAAATCGATAATTCTACCTGTTTCAAAACTCCCAACAATCCTTAGTTCGATAATTTTATTCATGTTTTTTATCAAGAGATATCAACAAAAACCAAAATAAAAACAGTTAAGTGGCCAACTCCTCAAACAATGTGGAGTATAATTCATTCTGGCGCGGCTCACTTACGGACACGGATTTATTATCCAAAGTTTGTCGGCTTAATTTCGAAATACCCTCTATAAGAAGAAATGCATTTTTTATTAACCCCGTACGGTCCTCCGTGACACGAGTGCGGAAACTCTCGCTACGTACACTTCTCATAATACGCGCGCGTCGCTTCAAACGGTATCACGCAGCATCGATAATACGCGCTAATGACCGCTATTAACGAAGCGACATTACGAAAAATACACTTCAGCGCGATGACAAATGAGCAGCCGCGCCTTTTAGACACGCATAAAGGAACGTTAAAACGACATTAAGCGTAATGTACGAGAGCGTTTTCATGCGCGCGGCATCTCTCTCGGGGGGGCTTCGCGCAAGTCGGACGCGTGACTCGGATTTCCACTTGCGAATGACGCTTTTAATAAAACGGGGGTCGTGCGCGCACTAAGTCGTCATATCCGTCAAATCAATCTTCCCTTGTTGCATGCGCTCATTACGCATACGCTGAAAACGCGCCGACGATAATCCGCCGCGGGTCAAATAGATCATCGATGAGCGCGCGCGCAAACCCCGGGCGATCGTTAACGAGTGACACGGTGCGACCGAATGCGCTTATTTTGTAAACGCGCGCGGCTGTATATTTTTCGGCCAACCTTCGCGCACATTTATACATATACATGCATATGCAGTGTGAGAGAGGGCGATTTGCGTCGCTAATTACGCACGTAACGGTATTTTCCCCGATTCCGCACCGCTAACGGATATAATGGCGTTTCGCTCTACCGTGTCGGATAGATACGTGTCATCGCGTTTCCCCGCTGTCTTGATAACGCGAATTGATCTCCGCGTCGCCGCCGTTCCGCATTAACGCCGAAATTATTCCGTCGGCTGTAATAAGTTCGTGAAAGCAGTCGCCGTGGGATGTCGATTCGCGCGTTTGTTACACTGCACTGAAAAGAGGATTTGGTAGCAATTAATAAAATTAATTAATAAAATTTCGTTAAATAATTTCAACTCAATTGTTTGCTCGCTACAATCAAATCGTTTAGTACCGTTCAATTTGCTGTGTATTATATATGTAATACGTGATATTTTTAATCATTTCGTTGCAGTGAATAATTTAGTTGAAGCTATCTAACCAAGTCTTGAAAATATTTATTTAGTGCTACGAAAGCGCTATCCCTTTGAATTATTTTTCTCCGTGGATTAGGGATGAAATGATGACAACGCGTCGATCACGGCGTTACACCCGGTCGATTTCACAACTCTTCATTCGATTGCTATCAATCAGCGATCAGTCGGCGAGATCGAGTGATGTAGCGCGGAAATCACGACAATTAAGACGGTGAAATCCGCTACCTATTCTCCTACACTTTGTCTCTACCCACACGGAAGAAACATTGAGAAACTGACGAGACGAACTGAGAGACGAAATAATAGCTAGGAATCAAGTTTCCCCAGAAATTTCCTTAATGTTATTTGGTGTTTACCGAGTACTCATCCTCGAAGGTATTTTCTACGTCAGAATTGGGTAAAATCTATCTATCTGGAGGGAATTGGAACGATACGACAAGAACACGCGACGCGATCAAATGCGACGAATATCGCGATCCGAAATTACGCTCCATTAAAACGACGATTGTTGCACGGGGAAACATGTTTTTCTACTTTGCAGCGGAAACGCGCGGCCGACGAGAAAATATATCCTGTTCGTTCATGTGTGTGTCATAACCATTTGAAACTCCACGGTAGTGCACGTAGAAGTGTTCCCATGTACATGATTATTCCGCGGAGGAGACTATTGGGACGCGTCGTATCCGCGTACTTGTTCTTAAATGAAACGACTTTAAAAACGCGTTCTCGCGCTCCCCGAGATAGTGCGAATGCCTCGTTTGCGTCTCGACGGCGACGTAACTGCAGCGACGTTCCTCGGCCGTGTTAATGACACTCCGCTCGGTATCCTTTAATTATTCCGAAGTATCGTTCGCGATAACGACAACAGCGAATCGATTTAATCCTGTGTTGTGCGCGAAAAATCGGAAGAAAATCGAGTTGCGGAATGCACCGTCGTTGTCGAAGCGTTCGGTGCTTCCCCGGATCGTTCCTTTCGTTCGCCGGCGAAAGGGGATCATTTTCGTCTGCTTCTCAAATTCTAAATGAATCGGATTTAACGGGAAATGTTATTGTTGAACGTCATACGCTCCACTGAGAACAGAGTGTACGTTTCTTGTAAAAAAAAAATCAATTAACACGAGCACGCGTTGTTTCTTCTCGAGAAAACGAGATAATTCAGTAATCGTGAATATTACACTCCGTATATATATATATATATATATAAGGTGTCTCAAAGTAACCGAATGCATATATTTAAACATTTCTCTTTTTATTATCTGTTGATCCCCGATTCGAAATTTTACTGTATATTTATCTCAATTTAATTTCAAATTAACAATTATTATTTAGATGGTATATAGAAACGTAATTTTGCTCGAACAAATACTAAATTTTGAGTAGCTCTCTTGTTGCGCCACTGAAAATGCGACACTGAAACTTCCTTAAAAACTGTCATTTGAACGGAATTTGGATAAACAACAAGTTGATTTGTTTGATACTGAGAATGTATATTCACACGCACGGAAAGCTGAATTTTTCACATTTCACGCGAAATAAGGATGCCGTCCCTCGTTCGCCTTCTCAAGCTTCGATCCCGTATTCTCGATGACGCAGGAAAACCCACCGCTATCCCGGCCGGCTTGGAAAAAAGCTCACGTATCTTCGCGGCGTGATACGCAAAGGGGAGGGGGGATCACGAGGGTGCGGTTCAGAACGGCCGAAGCGGGAGGAGAAAAGGACAAATAAAAATGTCTCGGCACGGGGAACATTTCTTACGATCCAACGAGCAAATGAGGAAGTTGCGGTCGGAGGGGTGGAGCGAGTGCGAGGTATACATACCGGAATAAGACGCTGTTGGTTTATTAAAAATAGGAGAAACCCCCGATGAGACGTTTAATCTTCCAGCCGACATTAAAAAAGCACGGGGTAAGCCGGCAAGTTCCCTTTTCAGTGGCATCATTTAATATGGCGAAAAGTTCTCCTCGCGGCCACCGTTAA